ATGCACCGTGTCACAAGTCGATGGTTACGATGGCCAAACTGCATGAATTGGGCTTTGAATTGCTTCCCCACCCGGCTTATTCTCCAGATCTGGCCCCCAGTGACTACTGGCTTTTTGCCGATCTCAAAAAAATGCTCCAGGGAAAAAGATATGGCTCGAATGAGGAGGTGATTGCCGAAACTGAAGCCTATTTTGAGGCCAAGGACAAATCGTTCTACAAAACTGGTATCGAAAAGCTAGAAAGGCGTTGGAATGATTGTATCACTCTAAAAGGGGACTATGTTGATGAATAAAATTGAATTTTGGCAAAAAAATGTTGTTTTCCTACTTAGGCTCGGGACTTATTGACCGATGTGTTAGTAAGTATCTTATTAGTCACTATTTATTAGTCCAAACTATACAGGCGGCTGCTGCTGCCGCTCCCATTCTCCCACCAAAACGCCAAAAGACGTCAGAACAACAAACCAGCACCGTTGCCACCGTTTCCTTCGCACCATCTGAGTATCCTTCCCTTGAAGGTGGAGCTCAGGCGGCTGCAGGGCCATCCAAAAAGAAGAAGAAGAAGAAGAAGAAGCCACAGAAAAAGCAAACACCTGCCAGTATGTTCATGGGTTTTTACCACTCTATGGTAATGAGAAACCTAATGTCATTGGAAGTTCTGATGCAGCACGCCGAGCACTTACCCAATTATACAACCCCAGAATGGCTCAAAAACCACTGGGAAAAACACAATCAAAAGGCCGCCGAAAAGCAAGTCGAACCTGTCCAATACTACCAGTTGCCCAGTGATGTTGCCATACACACCGTGAAAAATGATGAACAGCTCAAAGGAATGCTTGAAACGTTGACAAAGAGTAGCATCCTCGGCATCGACACAGAAAGTGACGCGTTCAGCAATTCGCTGCAATTAATCCAAATTGCGACGAGCAAAGACATCTATTTGGTACGAAAAAAATATGTTGGCAATTTAGATGGCGGTCTACTCGTACAAATCGGACGTGTTATCGAAAAGAAGGAGCTTGTGTTCTTTGCAGCAACGAATGATCGGGAACATTTGGCAGAATTTTTCGTCGACATTTGGATAGCGGAAGTTTTGGATATTCAAACATTGGTGCAGAGATTGGGATTTATCGTTCTCGACAAAAAAGGCACTCCAAAACAAGCAGTGTCTCTTTCCGACTGTGCTGAAAAATGGTTGGGCAAACCGCTAAACAAAGCATATACGCTCTCGAATTGGGCAAGAAAAGATGAACTCGACCACGAACAAACACATTAGCCGCTGCCGACGCTTTTGTGTTGTTGGCAATTCTGGAAGAGATCAAAAAGGACGCCGATTATATAGACAAGCTCCCATCTGCACTCCGAAATCCGAAACATATGTCCCAATCGCCCGACGCACTCGAATTCGATTGGTGAGAGAAAGGTGTGTGTGTATCTTACCCAAAGGGCGATCACACTCACTCACACAACGAAGAAAACATAAACGCACAACCACCAAACAAACAAAGAAAAAACATTGTCTTAGCATTAAGAATAAAAGTGCCTCTCACTCTCTCTCTTACAAAATAGCAAATTAAAAAAAAACAAACCAAATCAATGTTGTTTTTCTTAATGTTGAAAGTAGAATAGTTTTGCAGGAAGTGAATCCGTGTGTGTGTGTGTGTGCGAGCCCTACTCTGAGAGCGGCCGCATGCACACACATACACCGAAATCGTTCTGTCTGTCTCTACACTACGCATTGAAGCTGTCGTCGTTTGCGATTTTTCTGTAGCAGTTTTGTTTGTGCGTGTTGTAGTCTGTCGGCGCACACCGTCCCGTTAATTTGAACTGACATTAGTTTGGCTTTGAAACCCGATCGGACTACGCACATTTGTGTTGCCTTTCCCAGTTGCTTGTCATTTTTAAGAGAAAAATCATATACATATTGACATGGGTGATGTCGGCAGGAACATCAATCGAATCAGGGCATGCGCTCTGGTAAATAATACCCACAGTATCGTGTAGAGTATCTTTACCAGAGGCAGTTTCGACGGATTTATCGAAATTATCAAATGCTGCATGGGTGCATAGATTTGGTTTAGGTTTTAAACCATACGGCAAGATATTCGTCTGTGTCGCACATCCATATGCTAATTCGGTTTCGATTCCTTCCGCGACGGTGTAGCTAATAGAGTGACCCATTCGGTTCAAAATATCAATCATTTTTCTGCTTCCTGTCAAACTTTTTACACTTAGGCCAAGTGTGAGACACGAAGCAGGTTTTATTGAGCCATTTGACATTGAGAATATTATGCTGCTACATATCGAAATGATCTTCGCATTCTTTCTTGTACTACTCAACGCTCTAGGACTCTTCACAATATGTTCAATCAGCATATATAGCTCTGCTGGAATATCACATTCGCCATCATTCGGATCCGCATCTGGGGCCTGTTGCACAGTACTGTTACAATTTTTGTAAATTGTAATTGTAATTGTAAATACAATTCGTTGTAAAATTGTATTTACAATTGTATTTACAATTCTACAATAATTGTAAAATTGTATTTACAATTGTATTTACAATTTTACAATAATTGTAAAATTGTTTTTCAATAATGTCACATTCATACTTACAACTAACGATTTGTCACAAACACAAAAATCAGTCTCATCAATCGAACCATTTAATTTTTCCAGTCAGTCTGCGTATTTAAGTTAAATACTCAATATTTAAACCAATTTATGTTTCAGATGTATTCAGATGTGTTGTTTTGTTTCATTGACAATTTCAATGAATGACTTCCAGTCTAAAAGACTTTTCAGCATTATAATTCATATTTGGAAAAATTAAATGGTTCGATTGATGAGATTGATTTTTGTGTTTGTGACAAATCGTTAGTTGTAAGTCCTTAATCTGAGTTTGCCGATGACATGGAAGTTTAGAAGCGGTTGGAAATAAAATATTTTTTAGTCAAAATAAATACAAAACCTATAAATTGTGAATATAATTTTGATATCGATCGCTTTTTCTTTTTGACTGTCACATTCATTATTGAAAAACAATTTTACAATTATTGTAAAATTGTAAATACAATTGTAAATACAAGTTTACAATTATTGTAGAATTGTAAATACAAATTACAATTATTGTAGAATTGTAAATACAATTTTACAACGAATTGTATTTACAATTACAATTAAAATTTACGAAAATTGTAACAGTACTGTGCAACAGGCCCCTGTTTGTATTTTCTCGTCGTCAAAAAATGATGTATAGTATAGATACACTTCACTCAGTGCTCGAATCTCACGATTTTCAATGATTGTTTGAATCACATTCTCTTGCACCTTTACTAGAGCCAGCAAATGAATTTTTTGACGTATTGATACCTGTTTCGGAGTTTTGTTTGATGATGATAATCTATACTCAATTTCAGCGAGGCAACATAGATGATATTGGACACATTTTACGTTTTCAACTTGTTTCAACTTTCCTTCCTCATTTTGGGCTCGAAGTAATTCGATTTCGTTTTGAATCTGATGTTGCTTTTGTTATTTTTATATCAACTCCATTTCGTCTGCGATGCATGCGATGACAAAAAATACATCCAGGCAAACTATTACCTTCGTTTTGTTCTTCAATATCGACCCACATTTGTTCATCATTAGTTGGAAAATTTCCTTCGGATTCGTCTGAAATTCAATATAGATTATGCTATTTGCTTCATCAATGCATCTCTCTTAAATTCTTTTACCATTTGAAATGCCTGACTGAGGCGTAGTCTCAGCAGTATTAATGGTATCAATCTGATTGTTTGATTGTTCATTTGACTGGCCAGTTTTAGTTTCAGTTTTCTTTTTGCTCACTGAGCAGTAATATCTGAAGCAGCTTGGATGATACCCGACAACACCATCAATTGACTCGGGCAATTTGATTGCAGCTTATTTGCCTTTCTTAAAAGTTTCGTCGCGAATGGCTTTTTTCGAGTAGCACTTCTGAAGCGTTTGTTCGGTGAATGGGATTATTCTTTCTGTGGAAATGCTTGAGCCGATGTGCAGTACGCACCATGGAACCGGGCCTATATTGAAATTATATATACATATCTACAGTTCATACAGTTTATCATCAACATGAACGATTCTTGAAAAATACCTTCTGACCCAGACATTATGCGGCCTGTCACTCATTCATTTCACACAGAAATCGATTCAGTTAATTCAAATATTTCCGCTTAACGCAATCCTAAATAGATCTAAATTCAAATTGAAACATATAAATGAAAAAAGTAACAAAAAAGTATTTTTATTTTAAAGCAAAACAAAATAAAAACAATACACACACTTTTTTCACATACACTTTCGTTCGTTATTATTGTCCGGTTTGAAAAGTCAAGTGACAAGAAAGTGTCAAAATGAATGCGTTAACCAATGCGCGTTAGACACCGCTAACGCATTCAATTCAGTAAATCGCGCAGACAGCATATATAGGCGTGTGCGATGTGTGCAGAACACATCACATATACGATTTTAAATGCAGAAATTTAAAATATATTATTTTTTTACTTGGAAAAATCACCATACAAAATTTAATTTATAAAGCAAAGTTATTACATGTCATAATTTTTAACTTAATTAAAGTATGCAGATCTTAGCACATATACATTATTTCGATATGAAATTTTGAATATCGTGTTTTTAGGCAACGATGAAAATAATTTTCAAAAATCATGCTTGTACCTCAAGTAAAAAGTGTATTTGATTTCAAAACAATTATAATTACGCAGATTTTGTGTAATTAGAGTTTAATTAGAAAAAGTGTAGTATCAATTTTGTTCAGTACAATCAACTTCAACACATTTGTAGATACGAAACTTAAAGCTGAAAGTATGAGTGCTTTGTTCAGCAGCTCTTGGTCTATGAGCTTGGTGATTCACGCACGGTTGCTTTACGCCGATTTTTTGGTTTGGAGAAACGTTTCGCAAAAGATAAAGAATATCATGAGCAATATATTCAAAAAAATGCGTGAGAACATTGCAGATGGTTATATGGTTGAAGCAGGTAGTGTCCAAAACTCGGACATGGTATACTATATACCACATCACGCAGTGAGCACTTCGAAGAAATTTAGAATTGTGTATGACGGAAGCTGCAAAACGAGTTTGGGCTTATCATTAAACGATGCGCAATTCGCTGGGCCAAGGCTGCAGTGCAATTTAAATGAAATTTTAATGCGCTTTAGACAGCATAAGATCGCGTTTACAGCAGACATTAAGTCTATGTTTTTACGAGCGCGATTAAATCCGAAGCATTGGGATTTACAGCGAATTTTCTGGCGCGAAAATTCAAATGCACCTTTGAAAGAGTATTGGCTGGTAGTGGTTGTTTTCGGTTTAAAATCATCGCCATATTTAGCAGTAAGATCAATGTTGCAGATAGAACCAGAGCTAGAGCAACAATTCGAAGAAGCTGTAAAGGCAATCCGAAACAACTTCTATATGGATGACTGTGCCACAGGTGCGGATGATGAAAAGAGCGCTATCAAATTAGCTAATGGCATTAAAACAGTTTTGAGCAAATCCGATTTTGAGCTTTGTAAGTGGTCATCCAACAGTGAACGCCTTGTGCAGGCAATGGATGGCAACGAATCGGTTTCAGTCTTATTCGACGAAAAGGATGAAATTTCTGTGCTCGGCCTGCGTTGGCAAATTAAAAAGGATGAATTTTCTTATGAAGTGCGAGAAAGAGAAATGGCAGGTAAATTAACAAAACGCATAGTTTTGGGAAAAATTGCCCGTTTATATGATCCAATGGGCTTTATTGCACCGGTTATAACTAGTGCCAAAATTTTAATGCGCAAACTATGGTTATCCAATCTGTCATGGGATGACCCAATTCCATACGAACTTGAGCAAGAATGGAATGCAGTTTGGTCAACAATTATGTCAGTAGAGCAAATCCACATTCCGCGTTGGCTTGGAACAGGAAAGGAAATAGGCCTGCAATTGCACGGTTTTGCCGACAGCTCAATTGCTGCATATGGATGTGGTATTTACTTGAGAGTGCAAAATTTGAGCGGTCAAGTTTCGTGCCATTTGATCGGATCAAAATCGAGAATCGCACCAGTGAAGGAAGTGACGATTCCGAAATTGGAATTAGCGGCGGCCGAGCTGTTAACTAAGTTTTTCGTTATAGTGCGCAATGCGATGGAATTACAAAATGTGCAGTATTTCTTATGGTCGGATAGTACGACTGTTTTGCAGTGGATAAGAAGACCATTACACGAGCTAAAGGTTTTTGTAGCAAATAGAGTAAGAACCATTCATGAGCTGTCTGCAATAGAGAATTGGAGGCATGTGCGTACCGCAGACAATCCGGCAGACTTAGTTAGTCGCGGCCTAACGGCTAAGGAAATTGTGAATAATAGTTTGTGGTGGCACGGTCCGGAGTGGCTTTCGAAGCCTCAAGGGCATTGGCCTGAGCCTTTGGATGTATTAAAGGTTCAATCGTCAATAGAAATGCAGGGTGAATTGAAAGTTCATTCCGTTTCTTTAGTTAAGACTGATGAGCTGTCTATTCATGTGAAGGGCATGAAGAAAGAAGTGTTCCTTCTTTATCATTCAAATGATCTATCGAAATTGGTTCGTGTAATGGGCTATGTGCTACGTTTCGTGGCAAATTGTCGTGTGAAAGAGCAAAATAATCCTTTTCGAATGGCAACGAGAAGTAACAAAAGACAAGTGAGCAATTCAGTAGCGCCTGAGTTATTGAGCGAAGAAGAGAAAAAAAAGGCATTGCAGTATCTTATTAGACGCGTGCAAATGAAAGCCTTTCACAAAGAATACAATTATTTGAAGGAGAGAAGTGACAATGAGCAGGTAACAACAGTAAAAAAGGACAGTCACATTGTAAAACTTTGCCCTTTTTTAGATAAGGATGGCATTTTGCGAGTAGGTAGTTGTATAAGCCAAGCTGAGCTGCCTTACGATGCAAAATTTCCAGCAATTATCCCATCAAAATCACGTTTGAGCTATCTAATCGCATGGGAAGCTCATCAAGCGACGGCGCATGGTTCAGTGCAAATCATGATTCAATACATTCGTGCAAGGTATTGGATTCCTAGTTTGAGAAATGAGCTGCTAACATATTTGGACAAGTGTCTTACGTGCATTCGTCATTCGGCGAAAATGGAAACACAACTAATGTCGGATTTGCCTGCCGACAGAGTGCGCGAAAACAAACCGTTTTTAATAACGGGTTCAGTCAGATCGATATTGATTTTTCGTCAGTGCGACATTCTATTGGAGAAAGCCAAACTGTGCAGACGCAATTAAAAATAGCTGTGGTTTCAAGATTGTGATTCAAAAAAGAATAGAATAGTTCTTTTATTTTTTTTGTGTGCTTTTTATGCTTCAGAGCAAAGTAAGTAATTCTTTCAGTGTATTTTACATAAAAAATCAGTGCCAAGGGAGGAAGTTATAAACGCAGAGCTCGTCGATTTTGTCAAATAATTTTCAAACTTCAAGTGGTGAAATTCAGTCGTGCCGTTATTTTTTTTTTTTTTCGCAGTGAATATCAAATTGTGCTGATTAGTGTTTAAATAAAAAGAAAAAGTGCTTCCTTACTTTGTTCTTTTTTCGTTTCCTTTATTTTGTGTCCAACGAATTAAGTGGAATTGTATTTTTTCAGATGTGCGATAAGTTCATCGATAAAATAACGAAGATGCTTGAGGGCCTAAGCATCAGCGATTCGCCTACAAAATACAAGCCTTGAACGATCTAAACCAGTTGTTCATGGCTTTCACAGAAAAATTGCAGTTAATGGATGACGAGGAGCGTGCCGCTCAACGAGATGGAAGTGTTGAGGCTCAGCGCGTTTTCCACAATGCTGGCCTGTCGATAATAGAGCAATTATCAGGTCAACAACAGCAATCAGAGCAAGATGAAATGATTACTGATGAACACATTTCACAAAGTGAAAATGAGCAAAAGTTATCGGTGCCAGCAGCAACGGGAAGCGGCCAAGGGCAAGTCGCTGCCGAGCAACCAACTGCCGGCGCCGTCCAACCAATCCAACAACCGGCGCTTGACCAAATGGAGGGAGCTTGGGGTGGCCAAGAGCCGGAACCCCCAAAATCGAGCAAAAGCAATGGCAATGCCAACGATTCATCAAATTCACCACCCAACGATGAGACAATGGCGGAGCAAGGTGCATGTAATAAGCCACATCAAGTCCAAATTCCGTTCTTGGATTTCGAAGCGCTTTTCCGTCCGCTGTTTGAAGTGCAACAAATGGCACAGGTCGACGAAATGGCATTAAACCGTTTCCTAGTAACTATAATGGAAATGCGCGAGCGAGCTGAAACGCTCAATTTCCCGATTGAGCAAGAGCAACAAATGATAATAGCGCTTATTCAGAATCGCTTGGATTACATTAGTCGGTCACTATGGATGTGGCAAGTTGACCGTCGCGAGCCAAATATCGATCAGATGGTTGATTTCCTGGTCACGATGCAATCGCATTGAATCACATGAGCGACCATCAACATCTGCTCAAGCTCAAGGTGCTGTGCCAAAACGGTTTGTGCCACCTAAACCAACGGTGCAGCGCGCACCATCAACAGGAAGCGCAGGTAGTGCTGCCGTCGAACATTCAGGTGCTTCTAAGGGCAAGAAGCATAAACCAGTTTGTATTGAGTGCGGAGGTGAGCACTATCTGCATAAGTGCGAACGTTTCAAGCAAATGACTGTTGCGCAAAAGAGATCATTCTTAGATCACCACCGTATGTGCCATAATTGCTTCTCGCAGACACATACCACTGGCCAATGCAAGCAGGGCGTTTGCAAGCGCTGTGGTACTAAGCACAACAGTTTGCTTTGCCCAGAATCAGAGCGAGAATAAAGGTGAGAACAGAGCTGTTCTCACCGGCGGGAGTGTACCGAATCGTACACGATTCAGTGCTGAATGTGTGCGTGTATGCTCTTTTTCTTATTATTTCCTCGCTCATCAAAACACACAAATTAAACATCATGTATGTGTATAGAGAGGCATTCATCCAGTGAGGTTGAATGTGAATCGCACGCGATTGAGCCAGTCAGCAATCGAACGCACATCAGAGCGGTTGACGAGCCTTGAGCGAGAGTTTTTACGCCAGTGCGGCTTTTCTCTCAATAATAAGAAGCAATGCAATAAACAAACAAAGAAAGAAAATCAAGTGTTTCATTCAATAGATTGGTTCTTCAATTTTCAGTTAGTTTTAAGTTTTGTTTCAGCAGTGAGAATATTATTGAAATTAAGAAGGTAAGTGAGCTAGCTCTGAACAAGATGCATAAATTTTTTTCCATTTATACATTTATATCTTCTATTCTTTCTATTCATACAATAAATAAACATTCAATAAATTGTTGTATAATTTGTATGATGCATAATGGAATGACTGTTTGGAATGACAGTTGAGTGAATGAGACGATGTGAATGTGTATGAGTGTGTGAGTGAATGTGCCCTTCCGGCATTTTGCTCCGCCATGACAGCATTTTGGTTCACCATTGGTTAGTTAATTTCCGGCATTTTAGTCGGACATTTTAAAGTCTTAGTACTGCCTAACTCGTTGACGTTGATTCATTCTTTGAGAAACCATAGACGTGAGAACATTGTTTCAATAAAAGAAAATTATTTTCGTAAAATACTGACGTCTTTACTTATTAAACTCATATATAAAAGCTCAGAAGTGGGATACCGACGCCTAATAAACAAGAAAATTATCATATTTTGTTGAAATTCCGACGTAAATCATAATATTTTTGTGAAATGGAAAACCGCATGAACCGCAATCAATTGATCAATGCATTGGAAGCCGCCGAAATCGAAGTACCGCATGGAAGACCGAATGTAGCAGCATTGAGAGAATTATTTGCTAACAATCGAGCCGAAGTTGAAGCCGTTTTGATCGACAATAATGATGAAAATGCCGACGATAATGCCGATGGATATGGAAATGACGATGAACCACCGCTGAACCGAGATGAAAATGAACAAGCACCGCAAGCACAAAATCCGAATCGAAATGACAATGTTCCACCGCCGAATCAAAATGAAAATGAACAAGCACCGCCGGCACAAAATGCACACGCACAGCCACCACAACCAGAAGCCGATGAATTGGATCGAGAACTCGCAAATTTACGTCATCAACATGAAATTTTGCGATTGCGACGTGAAATCGCCATGATGGAAAGAGGTGAATTTGTCGGTGAAGCAAAAGCACGCGCACCAATCACAGCACCCGTTGCACCAGCTCTAACGAATGTGCGCAAAATTCATTTCCACGATATTGAGCATGCCATCATCAAATTCAGTGGCGAGGACCGAACATACAGCGTTAATGATTTTTTTCGTTATTTGGAACAAATTTTCCGGCAAGTGAATGCTGATGAATTGCTCAAGTTTTTGGCATTGCGAAACTCGTTGAGTGGAGCCGCCCGACTTTTGTTGACTCGAGGTGCCTTAACCTATGATGATTTGAAACGCAGTTTGATGCAAGAATTTGGACGAACCGTAAGCCGACAAGAAGTTTACCGAACAAAGAAAACAACCGAAAGTGTTCGCCGATATGTAATGGAAATGGAATCGATTTCGTACCGCAGTGATGTGAATGAATTCGAATTGGTTGCTTTCATCCCAGAAAGCTTGAACAATCGCACGACCGACTATCCACTGTTCACCACAGCAAAGACGATGAATGAATTGAAGGATGCTGTCAACATGTTCGAACAAGACAGGCAATGCGTGGTGTTGAATTTAAATCGGATTCTACAGGTGCCAAACCGAAAGTCAGAAACGATTCCACCGTCAGCACGAATCCCGCAGCCGCCGCTACCGCTGTGACCGAAGATCGTTGTTTCAATTGTTCTCGTTTGGGCCACCGCAAGCCAATGTGTCCATACGAGGAACGTCCAACAAACATTTGCTATAATTGTTGGAAACCTGGCCATGACCGCAGATCCTGTACGAACCCGAAATACACTCAAAAGTTGAAGAAAACCAATACCACCGTAGCCGCCGTCACCAATGTGAATGAATCAACCGATTGGAATGACGATAACGATGATACCGATGGAGCCCGTTCGCTGAGCGCCCTAAATTTGGTAAGTGTTGCCTTCATTGATGTTAGTGACCAGTGTAGTGAAAAAAATGTAACTCGTTTGTCTCTTTTCGATACCGGCAGTCCCGCTAATTTAATCCAACGTAGTACCGTTCCATTCAAAATGCGCAGTGAATTAATGGGAACTCAATTTCATGGCCTCGGAAAAACACCATTAAAACGTATGGCAAAATTTATTGTAACATCACCGTTCGCGGCAGATGTGAAAGGAATTGTTTACTTGTCGTTCCGGACGAAATGTCACCGACTCCAATTCTTCTCGGACGAATTGCATTGGCCAAATTTGGGATTGCATTAACAATGATCGATAGAAAAACATTAAATGTCATTTCGAATGCGCAAAATAAATTGAATGGAACATTAGAGAATAAAAAAGACGAGTTGTATTTTTGTTCGCTTGGTTTTAACATTTCAGAAAGAGTAGCTATAGCGAGTATTGACCTTTTACCCTCTGCTCTATTGAAACGCGAAGAAGAAGTTAATTTAGTAAATGTAAGTACGAAAATAAACGCAGCAAATGTGTCGAATGTCAGCGTTGAACCCAAAGAAACGATTATGCTAGGGGTTTCATGCAAACTCATACCGCGAAGATTTCTCGCAATAGC